GAAATCTGGAGCTATAATTAAAAATAAATTCGCAGTATACCGGCCGAAGGCCGGTCCGCCCGCCGGAGGCGGCCGGAGCGCCACCGGCGCCGCCTCATTAACGCCGCAAATAGCCCGATTGCTCCGATGCGTCGTGCCTAAGTGCTCAAGTGTCGTCTACAAGCCACCACTAGCGCCTCTACGCCCACGCCCACGCCCCCGGATCCGGTTCCGGTTCCGGAGCCGGTGTCGCCGGTGGCGACACCGGCGAGGGGTGTTTTGTATGAGACAAGTGACATAAGTTTTGGCACCACCACATATGACTATGTGGCACTTTATCCTCTTTGGCTCTTTTGGAAATTACATTGTTCCAAGTGCCTTATAAATGCTATTTAATTTTATTCCTCTTCCAATGTGGGACTAAGCATTTATTGTCAATTAAATATAACACCCACTTTGTCAATTTGGAACAACATTAATGGAAATAAAATATTATTTCCAACAAACATATGCTCTACGTTTTATATGAAAAAGTGAAGATAACCCGCTCATTGGTTCTAAAAAGGTCCAGGCCTAGAGAAATCTTATTTATATATCTCCTTTTTTGAGGGAAGATAGATCCAATATTTCACCTATAATACCATACTTTAAACTTCTCACCTCTTCGCATGAGTTAACCCTAACTTTTATTAGAATAACTCTGCACACTACATAAAATACTGCAAATACATGGCTACCCTCATTATACTTTTTTAGCAAGTACAATTGGGGTCCATTATAGGACCTGGTAAAACCAACTTGGACTACACTTATTTTCATTCACCATGCTCCTCAGTTGTCGCCTTCAATATGATGGTATAATGAGATATTATAACGTCCATCAACGTAGACGTAACTGCCAATACCATAGCAATGTGGTTTACTAGAGATAAGAAATCCAACTCTTCGCGCTTGAAGTATGCTTGACGACGAGCATCCAACCTACCAACCATAAGAAAAATTCGAAAAAAGAGTCTGAGTCATAAATCACATTTTCCAATACAAATGTCACCAACTAATCTTAATACCCAAACATAACTTTTGTAGGCTCAATTCTATAACCAAATAGAGTTTTTTCAATAGTTTATCTAAATAACCTAAATTGATTCTTCAAGAGTATCACACTCTTGAAATAAAATAGTGACTTAACACTAGTACACCACTTTCCTCACAAATACAGGCACTAAGGCAACTTTGGTGAAAGAAAATATTTAAAGAGAGAAAAGAGAGTTATACTTGCTAAAAAGTACAAATGTGTGAAACTCCTATGCTGGTAAGGGTGGCCAGAGACTCTTAGAGATTGTGGTGGTTTAAGGCAAGCTCACAGTGGTGAGAGGTTATATTTCGAAGGTGTTTTGGTGTGGAAAGAGAAAATTCACGTGAGGTGACAATCTCTATATTTTTAAGGTGTTACGTATGCATTTAGAATATCATATCCCTTTTAAACCTTAAGGTTTGGATATTTATAGAGCCTTTTAGACTTTGATTGAGGGAAGCTATTTATGCTCTAATACTAGATCGTGGGGAGCAATGGGTTATTCCTCCTTAGATCGTGGAGAAGAAGGTTATTCCCTTTGACTCATTCTTCTAGTTCATATAAGGAACACGCCATCTCCCACTTCTTATGGACAAATGGGAAAAAGTTTGGGTGGACTAAGTCTAACTAGTAAGACAATTGCTAAGGTCTAAGCGACTTCATAGCCCATTTTGGGCTGTCAGTGGCTTCGTGTGTAGGAACAAATGAACCTTCCTTCACATCCTTCTAAATACCATGTTGCATCTCTTCTATCAAGAATTTCATTTTTTATTTCCATAAACTATATCATTCTCCATTAAAGGATGAGGTTTGTTTAGTGAATAGCTTGAAGTCATTTTTCTCTTGGGACGATTAGTCTTAACGGGAGTTAGACTCTTTTTCAAAGGGAAACAACCAAGATCAATGTAGTTAAGTCATTTGATATTCTAGATTAGTGAGAATTTGATTGTTGTATTTAATTATTGTAATGATATATGTATAAGATGACATCAACTCAATATTCATATCGCTTATAGCATTTCATTGTTTAGACCATTATTAGATTACATATATCTTCATTATATTATGTTAATATGTATTCATTATTATTATGTAAAATGTGAGTATTTAACATGTATGATTTATTTTCATATCGGATACAGTTTATTCATGGTTAAATTTTATATTTTCTCACAATGTTTTGATGATAATTGATTGATATACTTGTTTATTATAATTGTTATATTTTAATATTTTATTAAAATCATCTGAATTGATGAGTGTTAAATTTTATGTTTTTATTTTAATTAGTTATTAAATAAATTATAATTATTATATATTAATTATTAATTTGATTAAATATAAATGAATATTGTATTAGATAATCAATGATGGATTGAGTGATTCTTTTTTATAGTTTACTGAGAGGTTTCTTCCTTCGTCAAGAACAAATCAAAATATGAAGAAAAAAAAATTGAGTTTCTTGAACAAACACAAGAAATTCTATTAGAATTTATAAAAGGGAGAGAAAAAGTAAGAAGAATAGAAAATTGGTTAAATTTGTTTTTTCTATTCACTTTTTCAATAGGATTCAAAGATTACCAACAATTAACATCTCTCAACAACATGAGAGAATTAGTCTATTTATAGACCTATAAACTGCTATTTTTTTACTTTTTCTTTGAGGCAAGATTACAAGTGTTACATAATAGCAAATAATCTCTTTCGCCATAACTAGAATTTGCACCCTACAACAAAGATGAGAGACTATGTATAAGAAAACTAACATACTAAACCAATGGACTTTTACACACAGACTCATTGTACAAGCTAACTTAAACAATTGAGCGTACAACCAAGACCCAATTCGACACACTAACTTAAATTACAAGTTAATATATTTCGATAGTATGATTGAACAGACTTCGACTACACCATATACAACTCTTGTCGAAATATCAAGTTACCATTATCAACATTAGAATTCGATTCAAAATACCATATATATATATATATATATATATATATATATATATATATATATATATATATATATATATATATATATATATATATATATATATATATATATATATATATATATATATATATATATATATATATATATATATATATATATATATATATATATATATATATATATATATATATATATATATTATGATTGTCTCATTAGGTGAGAGTTATCCCTTTTCCTCATCTTAAATATATATTATGATCGTTCCATTAGGCGAGATGTTCTTTCCCTCATTTTAATGGATATATGTTATGATTGGCGAGATGTTCTTTCTCTCATTTTAATTGATATATGTTATGATTGTTCGTTAAATTAGATACTAAAAGTTGTCATTCTATTTTATTAGAAAGAGGACAGTAAAATTCTCCATTTTTTTTCAATCTCAAGTAAATAGATTCAATCATGAAAGATTCATATATATATATATATATATATATATATATATATATATATATATATATATATATATATATATATATATATATATATATATATATATATATATATATATATATATATATATATATATATATATATATATTATGATTGTCTCATTAGGTGAGAGTTATCCCTTTTCCTCATCTTAAATATATATTATGATCGTTCCATTAGGCGAGATGTTCTTTCCCTCATTTTAATGGATATATGTTATGATTGGCGAGATGTTCTTTCTCTCATTTTAATGAATATATGTTATGATTGTTCGTTAAATTAGATACTAAAAGTTGTCATTCTATTTTATTAGAAAGAGGACAGTAAAATTCTCCATTTTTTTTCAATCTCAAGTAAATAGATTCAATCATGAAAGATTCATATTTATCTATATTATAATATGTCTAACAATTGTATCTATGATTTCTATGATTTTGATAATATTGTAAATATTCATGTCACTTTCTTCGGTTTCTTGACAAATAAGGGTCTTAATGCCGCAGGATTGCACAGCTTCAGTACACCCACTATGAATGAATGAATTAAAGAGCTCTAACTAAGATTCTTGAGATTCACAAATACTAGAAGATGTTGTTATCAACAATATTGCTTCATAAAATGCTACAACTGCACTGTCTATTTTTACCTTTGGTATATGTGCATATTGATTATTAATGTAGAGTATATACAAGTCCAATTCTATACAAAATGTGTTGCCATCTTTAGACTAAATCAGAGGGAATCCCTACTCGTGATTAGGGACTGCATTTGGCTGTTTGGACACACTTGCGGTTTGTACTCTAAGACTATGAATACCTAAATACTCATACACTTTTTGATAAAAATTTGATGAAATATAATTTATTATATCATTTTAAATTTTTAACAAAATTAAAAAAAAATCAAAATATTATTGTTGAATTAATAAATAAAAAAGCACTTATATTAATTTTATTAGATAAGCATAAGTGTGCATATGATAATCAAAACAAAAATATATAAATTTATATTTCACTAATATAGGGCAGTGTGAATATTAAAATATCCATAGAAACGTTCAAACTTATTTATTTTAGTGAGTAATTATTCGTGTCCGTATCTATATTGCAAGTTTTTATCATATTCATTATGAATAATTTTTGCAGGTATTTACTTAGGATGAGTCGAATTGTCATCCTACTTGCAATATACCATCATCATCTAACATCAAAAAAATTGCATTTCCCATTGATGTGTGATACATTACATTATAATGATTAGTTACTAAACAAATTAATTAACAAATGTAATTTCAACAAATACATACGTTAATTACAAGATCCCTGTGAAAATTTATTCACACCACTTCATTATTGAAAAGGGAAGCATCTATCATATGCACCGAGTCTAAAACTAGACCTACATATCATTACTCCTTTTTCTCTTACAATCTTAGTTATCCTTAACTCTAACACAAAATTCCATGATGGAAAAAAAAAAATTTGAATCGTCTGCATCTCATAAAAGGACTAACAACAAAGCAGAGAGACATGTCAAGAAAATGTGCAAAATGTTGTTAACTGTCTTCATGGTTCTGAACCTTAACTTCACCCCTGCGCTGCTCGATTGCGTAGAGTTCACCACTTCCTTTGTCTTATTGCTTACGTTCTTGCTGCAATATCACATCAAATGAAGACTCTCACTTAGAAAAAATTCAAGTTCTCTCATTTTAAGCATAAATAAAACAACACAGTCACTATGCAGATCAATGTTTCTTACCTTCCAGGAAATTCGCAGCTCCCGTGACCTGCACAAGTATTCCCCACAAAAACCAAACATATTATATATTATATCAAATCAATCACAAGTTTATTTGTACATGAAATACACTTAACAAGAAGAGAAAAACATGCAAATTTGTGGAGCCCATTTTACATCTATGTAACAATCTATAAGTATTTGGGTTGAGTAGGCTTAAAAGACAATGTACTAAACAAAAAACATTGAGGTTTTCAGGATTTGGAGTGTGCAGTCGGCAAATCTGAACAGCCCGATCAAAAACAGTCAGTCAAGATCAGTTTGGAATTTGGACCGTCTAAATATGTTGCGGGAACATGTGACTGCATATAGTCGTGGGGACATGTGACTGCATACAGTAGATCCAAGGACTACTGCTTTATGTGAAGGTAATCTAGAAACATGGTCCAGAATCTTAGCAAATGTCAGGAGAAACAAACAGGTGCTTGCTCAATGACAAACAAACATCCAACCCATGGAGAGTGGGTGCCAGTGCTATACCTAGTTTTCTTTTTTCATTTCAAATTTCACATAAAAATAAGACTAGAGCCAAACCAAAAGCTCCTTTGTATTAAGTGGGTGCCACACACAAACAAATGCATTTCATGAATCATTACATAACATTACTTTGCCATACTTGTCTACTTTTAAATTATTTCCCTTTTCAAATCATCACTAAAGTTTCTTATAACTAATCATAAAAGAGTTTATTATACTTTATGACATTAAAGTAAGCTAATTAGGAAAAACAACACACTCCATTTAAGCATTCATCAATGTGAAAGTGAAAGAGACCAAGTTATAGAAAGCACTTACTGGGATCTGTGGTAGTGATCATAGCAACTCCTTTGAAATCGCAGCTCCCGGGTGACTTCCCTTCTTTCTGGTAATAGCTATCAAAAGCATAAGAAGCATGATTCTTAACATTGTTAGGTTTATAGCAACTCTCTCCGGGCTGAATCTCCGAACAATTAGCCCTCCCCGGTCCACACGCCCAATCCAACGCAGCCTGCAACGTCTTTGAATCAAAACCATCCATTGCAATGCAGTACGTCTGATTCGTCGTGTCATTCGCCAAAAAAGTTCCAATTCCGGACACATGAAGCAAATAAACTGCACTCATGTTCCCATAAAAAAGACCCCAATTCGCCTCGGAAACCGGGGGAGACCTCAAATCCTCATTAAAAAGCTCATAGATAAAAACACTAGAAGTAGCTTCAGGATGCAAAGGAGTTCCACTGTGATCAAAAACATGCTTAATCAAATTTGAATTATAAGTATCCGCATTGTCTTTCGTAGCATAGGGCTCTTTAGAATCACCCTTACTAGGCCAACCCGTTTCAGTAACAAGAACAACAACATCAGTCACATTAAGATTCTTCATCGAAAAATAAGCCGAATCAATCATCGCATCAAGCACATTAGTATAATGAAGCAAAGTATTAGGATCCACCATTTCCTTATTAGGAGTAACCGGTTTAAACAGCGCATTATCTAAAGGAACAACACCTTTATTCTGCATGAAAACATAGTAAGGATAAAGATTCATCATCAAAGGTGATTCCGTTTTAGAAAGAAACTGAAGAATCGGTAGAAGAACATCAACAAGGGTTTGATTAAAAAAAGCCTGAGAAGGTGGAAAAGGGTCAAGAATAATGGAAGCAGCATGAGGAGTTGAGACTTTGATTAGTTGATGAAGATTCGAAGAAACAAGAGCATTGTAAAGAGATTGCATAGCAGGAAGAAGAAGAGGAGCAGAAGAACCAACAGTGGTAAGAACCTCGTCACCGACGGAGATTCCGGTGATTAATGTCTGAGGGTAATAAGCAACAACGTTTCGTTGGATCCATGAAGCTGCGGTGGTGTTGGAAGAACCAATAGCGAGAAGCTGATTGTTAGGGACACTGATGATGACACGAATTTTGGTTCCGGACAAAGATTTAAGAATGTCGGGGTTTGCATCGTAGAGACGAACGTGTGTTATTTTTTGTAACTGAAGAAATGAAACTATGTCGGAAGTTGATGGCATGTTTTCAACGTCGGTTCCGATGTTAACACCGACGAATGGTCCTTTTTGTTCGGTTTCACCTGCGAGAGAATAATCGATTATTTAGTGGATTATAGAAAAAGCTGAAATGAGTGAATGAAGAGGAGATAGTGTTTTGGATTACCTGAGGTGGAAATGGAGAGGAAGGAAAATGAGAGGAAGGAAATGAGAAGGATGAAGTTGTTAGAATTTGCCATTGAAGATGAAAAGGAGCTTCTGGTTCTGGTTCAGCTACAACAGAAGCTAGCATTATTTCTCATTAAAATGTATTTTTTTAAAATTAATTTATTTATTTGATGAAGAATAAATGATTATTGTGTTTGGTTTGGGTGAGTGAACGGAAGAAGAAGATCTAGTGAAGAAGAGAGATCTGATAAGTGAAGAGTGGGGAGGGATTGGACTGACTGTTCTAAGACTTTACTGGTTTCTTGTGACTCTTTGAAGATTCGACGCTCGTGTTGTGCTTTCTCTAAAGTACCCTTCAACATAAAGTCTATGATAAAGACAAATTATAAAAATTATTAAAGTAAGCCAAAATTGCTTTATTAGTATACTTTTCATTTTTGGTTTCACTTCATTATTCTATTATCTTACAAAAAAAATATACTTTTTGAATAAACTCAAATATATTAAAGAAGGGAAAAGGAGTGCAAGAAAATAATTTTTTTAAATAATCTATTTATTTAATTTAAATATTAAAATAACATTTTTTTTTAAAATTAATTAGCAAAGTAACATAGTTTTAGAAAAAAGAAAGATATAATCGTCATTTTATTTAGAGCCTATGCATGAAAGTTCATGCGCTATTTGATTTGGAGCATACATAAGTGTAGTCAAATCAAATGACGCCAACACCTCATAAACTTCTATTGCACTAATTTTGGAGTCCATGCGCCATCTCAAATGGCGTATCCTCCCTTAACTTATTTTTTTGTTTTTTGTTTTTTGTTTTATTAAAAAAATATATGAAAACGCGTAAATAATTTAGAAAAAAATAAAAAACAATTAAGAAATAATTTAAATATTATTAAAATACATTAAAGTTTATAAGAAATGAAAAAAAAACAATGACCGACCTGATCAAAACGTCCCCCGATTCCACATCCAGGCGCATTAGCGTGCCTCTGAGGTCTACCACTATTTTTTTTGAGGTGATTGTGGTCTTTGCGTATTTCCATGCGGAAAAGATATTTGTTGAGATGGTCCTGGCATATTTGACAAATTTTCAATCACTTGTTCCCAATAGTTAGAGGGTTGCTGCCAACGACACTTCTGTATTTCAATTTCATGCCCGTGTTTTCGAAGTTGGGACACAGTGGTTGGGTTAGGTGCGGACGGTATGGTTGGTTGAATTGGTACATTGAATCGTTTTGAAAACGATACAATGATTGTTGTGGGGGTAAGGTAGTCAAATAATGGTTGGGTGTTTTGGTGGTAGGGTGGTTGTGTGTTCATATGTGGGAGAGCTATGGTGGGTTGGGATGGATTCGAAAGAGTCATCGGGGCTAAAGACATATGTGGTGTTGGTGTGTGGATGTTGACGGTAAGGCTTTGGCTCTTGTTGTTGTGATTGGGTGGGTGGCATGAATGGATTGCAAGTTTGGAAGTTTGATTGGATGGGTAGATATTGTTGTTGGGTGTGGTGCGGTATTGGTTGTTGGGCAGGTGTTTTTTTTGTGTGAATGAAGACAAAGCACGTTGGCACGAATCTATCAAATATGTCGGCTCAGACACAAATTATTGTGTTGTAACTGATCTAAACCAAATCATATATTGAAGACTTGGTCTAGCCCCTTCCACGACAAGCTCGTTTAAGATGTGGCGACGTCAATTCTTCCAATATCAACACATCTCTTTAGAAAAGTCTCTCCAATCATCTACACCCTATTGTGCATCCACTCTCAATTAATGTCAGTCTCCCAAACTCGTCGGAGCAACTGGAAAATCATGTTGCATGTCAAACTGTAGTTTCACTCGATCACTTTGGTGCATATCTACTGTAGTAAACTAAATGATTTGTGTTTTTGTTGTCCATACTTCAAGATCGTCGGGGTTAGGCTGATGGTCGAGACCTAGATACGACCTTCAGAAAAAATGCATAATCAAAATACTTAATGAGAAAAATTGCAGTGTGTTAATTTAATAGCCAAATTTATAGTACCGTAAGAATAATTTACATCGTTCGACCCAATGTGGTATAGAAGATTGCGGTAAATGATTATTGAGTTTCTGAGACATCGTTGGTAAGTCATTCCTAAAACTGACCACCTAAAAAAAGTGAGATAAATAAATTATTTACAAATAAATGTTTTATCAAAGTATACATGTTTGATATTTTAAAATAAACTTGCTTGTTTACATAGGGGAATGTGTATGGATTCGGGTTGACCGGAGCGAGTGTCGGCCTTCTAAACCAACCCCATGCTTGAAGTAGAAAGGCATAGCCATAGAGCATACAAGTATTTTTTTTTTTTGCATTTTTACACAAGGCACTATATAGATCGGCAAAAACAGTTGAACCCCAACTATAAGTGCATACTTTATGAATGTTGCCTAACAATGACAAATACATAATATTTATAGTATTTCCAGTATTTTTTGGAAATAAAAAGTGTCCAAATAAGATCATAATATAACACCGAGTTTTAATTATCTTTTCATACTCGGTGGATTCTTCGTCTAATGTGATACTTTTTATAATGTTCTATAAGGTATTTTAAATATATACCTTGACCCCTTGGTTGACCTGCACGTTGTGGCTGATTTGTCTCGGCACAAAGAGGGGCACCCAACAAATCTTTGCAAATTTGGTTATTATTCTGGACTGGGCCGAGACATGCCCCTCAGTCGGGCAGCCCCAATCCAATATCATGCTGATAAGGCCCAACAAGGCCCAATCCTCTCTGTCGGGCACAAGCCTCAACAAGGAACACTAGTCAGGCAAACATTATCTCACACGGTTTCTCCACGGATTCCACGTGTCACCCACGCTAGGACACATCATCAAGCAACTGCCCACTTTCGAAAGAGTTGGTCAGCCCACCTTCCGAAGATCACAAGGTAGTTGATCCAGGGAGAAGACCACATGCTGGTCTTCACTATGTCACGTAAGCCCTGGCAGTTACTTGTGTTGGGCTTGGCAATCTGACCCACTGCAATGTAACTGTTGGCCATACGCTGGGGCATATTATAAATACCCTTTTTCACTAGAGGGTCAGGTATCTTATTCACTACACATTTTCTCTGTACTTGTTATCTCTCTAGTTCCGTTACTCACTTAAGCATCAGAGCATCTTGCAGGTACACGCCCACCTCCTATACAACACCGGTGAAGGCAGCAACTCACAATGCGTGGCAGACTATTGATTCCTTTCTGATCAGGTACGATCAGTGGCGTGTATGTGGGAACCTTTTGCTTCTCTGTTCTTTCTCCTGTCCAAGCATAGAAGCTCAAGAACCAAAGCAACCTTCAACTTCCATTCTAATCATGGTCAACCCACGCGACGACAATGCTCTTGAAACTTCCTTCATCCCTTTCACCAACGAAGATGGCCACGACCCCAACGCGACTGTCCATAACGAAGAAGGTGACTATAGGGACGGCACACTTCCTCTCCCTCCTCGAAAGACGCGGCCTTCAACGCCTCTCAGAGCTTTGACAACTCTGTTGTCTACCAGCTCATCCCGGTGCCAGTTGGCGCCGACCATACCCTGGTGGCCCTGTTCGCGGCATTCAAGCAGACTAACTTGATGATCTTCGGGAAGAACGAGCAAATAGAGATGCTCGAGAGGGAACGACCATCACGCTTCCCCCCTCCCCCCCCCCCCCCCCCCCCCGCGGAGACATTGTCGTCCAGTTTCCAATAACCGCTCTCCTACCCCGTATAGGACACAATCAGTCGACAATTCTCAGATCCCTTCTCCTCAACCGACTGGGTGTCGCCCTCGTTTGGAGCGACCACAACCTTTGGATTCCCAGAAGCGGGGAAGGTCGCCTCCCCGGAAGGAGCGACACTCCCCAATTCAGAAGAAGAACAAAGCCGAATGGGGTGCCTTCAAACTAAGAGCTCGACTGAAGAATCTTCCCCGATGGAACATAAACAACCAAGGATAAACCTCCTCCTCACAGTCGTTCGTCAAAAGTGACGAAGACGTCCAACGCTCACCATTATGCAGGGCCATCATGGAGGCCACACTACCCGTCGGGATGGAGAAACCCTTGTCTTTGGCAACATACAATGGCACGATCGACTCGGACGACCACATCGAAAACATCAATGGGATGCTCGATTATTGAAACGTCCGGGGAGCTATCAAGTGCAGGTTGTTCGCCACTACCATGAGGAAGGGTGCCATGGCATGGTACAAATGCCTCGCGCCCGAATCCATCACCTCCTAGGGAGAACTGAAGAGATAGTTCTCCAAGCACTTCACGGCCTCCCGACGCCATCCGAAGGCAGAGGTATCCCTAGAAGCCATTATCCAAGGGAAGAATGAACCTCTCCGATATTAAATAAAGAGGTCCAATCGAGAGCCTGTCTAGGTGTCCACCATGGATGATATAAATAAATTCTTGATCCAGAGAGGTATAAGGCCTCACTCCGACTTCACCAAAGTCGTTGGGATCGAATGTCCCTGCACCTTGGATACCTTTCTCCATAAATCCCAATCATACATCGAGTATGAGGAGATAGAGGCTGCAAACACCGCCTAGGACACGTGGAACTAGGAGGGCTTCAGAGGCTCCAGGCATGAGGAAGTCGCTCCTGTTCGATGAAGCGGGGAAAGAAGACGCGAAGACCGACCCCGCGAGCATAGGGGACCCGTGGGCCGGTTCACTGAGTACACACTGCCCACAGCTCCCCGCGAGCGCATCCTGTCTAAATGCATCAATTCAGAATTTCAGAGGGGCAATGTTTGTTTCCCAAAACTGATGCCCACGAAGCCCAACATGGACAAATCCAAATACTATCGGTTCCACCGAAGTCATGGACATGTCACGGAGGATTGCATGCAATCGAGATCTTAATTAAGGAAGGGCACCTGAAACAATACACCCGAAGAGGTGAAGCTCCCCGACCTGAGGCCCACAAAGCCAAGAGGGTCGAGGAAGTGTCTCCTCCCTCCGACGAATCGGGACTACAAGTCATCTTGTGTGTCTCTCGACTAGAGGATTTCCTCATTTTTACCGAGACCT